GTATATATATTGAATCAATAGCGCAACTAATGAGTAAAAATAAATAAGACGACTTCTAAATTTTCTAAATTCTACAAATAAGCTGACATCGATTTCAAATCCTTTGTTCTCACCAGACCACAGAAGTAAGATACAAAAGTTCACGACAATTCAAACCCAACGTTCTTATTAAGCACGCCACACACACACACACACACACACACACACACACACAAAAAGAAGAAGCATTCAACATATTGAAAAAAAAGCAAATGCAATTTTTCTGAAGTTGAACATAAGATGAAATTCAATAGTGTCTTGGTTCAAGCAAGTGCAACAAGGCTGTGAAGAGAAGCCATCACTTCATGCATCTGATCTTCATCATCTATTCATCATATCCTTGGCGTAGTTGTACGATGGATCGTCTGTGTACACAAATTGTATAGTCAATTAAATGAAAACAATGTTAAAACTATAAATATAATTGTTATTCATTAAATTTTCTGCCTGCAATAGTTTTGTGATCCACATTTTTGTAGCTTGTTTCATTGAATATATGTCCGAGCAATCTAAAAAATATCTATTTCCTACATTTTAACTGGTCATCTGGGAAATTTAAAAGCACAATCAGCTATAAGTGAAGAAAATCTTTTGTACAATCAGAATTTAGCATCACATTAGAGATCATCTTTCAGGTATTTATGATTCACATAATTGCTTGAAAAACAAGAAGCTTGGAGGTGACCCTAACCTTATATGTTAACTAATGTATAACACTGATGGTTCAGTAAAAAGACGAAAAGAAAGCTGTTATGAGGCTGCAATCTGAGATGAATAAATCCTATATCTAGGTCTTCCAACAAAATATTTGCTGCTCAAGTTTTCAATATGACAAATATAAATATAGAGTGAGAACAAGAAGTAGATGAAAATTTAGTACCTGGGAATGTAGCAATTCAGAGATTGAACAAATAGAGATCATCATTTATCGATATCGTGATCAGGAGGATAAATGGAAACTTTAAGTCCCTTGCCTTTATTTGCTTGCGGATCTTTCTTCTTTTGATCTTGAATTTTCTTGGCAGAAGTAGCTGCTGGTATGTTGGTCCAGTACAACTCTATTGTCTGGAGGGTTGCAATATCCGCGAGGCCCAATGGGACTGCATTGAGGTGAGCGCAGTGTTGAATATGAAGACTCTTGAGACTTGGGAAGTGACTACCAGAAGCAACCCAATTTGTTAAATCTGTCCTTCCAATATGCAAGATTTTAAGAGCAGGAAAACCTCCCTCCTTTGCCCCCCACCACGTTCCCTTGAATGCATTTTCTTTCAACTTGAGGATCTCAAGGTTTTCCAAC